GGCAGGCAGTAACCAAATCAGTACAGTTTGAAGAAAACTCCGTTTATTCAGCCTTGTTGTCGTGTACCGTCGAGCTGCTCTGGTGGCCTAGTAACAAAAAGCGGTGTTGCAATCCCAAGGGCACACGGTTGAAGGCCACCAAATGCTCCCCCAGAGAAGGATGGGCCATCTCCTCCCGTGAGATTAACTGCCTCTGAAAACCCACTGGAGGGTCAGCTACGCGTCGGTTCTGACTGTACAGAACACAACTGTCGGGTTGGAATCGCCCCAGAGCTCCCGCACTGGTGGGTTTCCAGAGCCAGTTCATGGAATGGGAGGGGAAGCCCGTCCTTCTCCCACCGAGCAGCTGCTGGGTTTGAACTGCTGCCTTTGGGACTGCAGCGCCGCTTCTGACCACTAGAAGTCCCTCTGCTAACTTGTCATTATTGTTGCTGTTGCTGTATACAGAGTCGGAATCAATCCACAGCTGACCCTCCAGCGGGTTTTCAGAGGCAGTTAAATCACACGGGAGCCAACTGTCCATCCTTCTCCTGCGAAGCAGCTGGTGGATTTGAACCATATGCCTTCAAGACTATAGTGCAGTTTCTCACAGTGCAAACTGAATCAGCGAGGCACAGTAATCTTCCATACTCCTTGGGAAATACTGGTTTGTGACGGGTACTCTGTCTTTTACAAATATCTGGAAATATTTACCCGGTTTCTCCAGATAGAGCACTGGCTGCTACCGGCTGAAAACTAACGCCTGCAGCCAACACTACCAAGACATATTTACCACAGTGTTTGAAACCGATTCACGTGTTGAGGGTCTATTTTGACGCTACAACACTCCTCACGAAGACGGGTGGGCTCCAAAGACCCTGCTGCTGCTGCTCTTACGTGTCGCCGAGTCGCTGACGTCTCACAGCGACCCTATGCACAACAGCTCTGAAGCCTGCCCTGTCCTGAGCCAATCTCATCATCTTCGACAGAGCTAACCCCACTTCCCCAGTCAGAATCAATCCATCTCATCCAGGGTCTTCCTCTCCTGTGCTGTCCTTCCGCCCTTCTCCAAGGACGGGCCCTTCCTGGCCGTGCCCAGAGTATGCAAGATGAAGCTTCAAAATCCTAGCCTCCACGGAGAAACTTGGCTTCCCTCTCTCCAGGACCGACCTGTTTGTTCTCCTGGCAGTCCTTGGTATGTTCAATGCTCTTTGCCAGCACCACAACTCAAAGGCATTGACTTCTTCTGTCATTCTTAGTCATTGTCCAGCTCTCTGATGCATAACAAGTGATTGCAATGACCATGGCCTGGGTCAGGCGCACCTTAGTCTCTAGACTGACATCACTGCTTTTCAGTCCTCTGGAGAGATCTTTGACAGCGGACTTTCCCAATGCGATTAGTCTTTTGATTTCCTGACTGCTGGAGCCACGCAAGCAAAAGTTGTTCTCAATCACAATTATACGAGAACTGATGTTATGGGAGAGAAGAGGAGAATCACATCAGATCACACGACGGAGGATGACACATCCTCACACACCGACCCAACTGCTGGGAATCAGGGCCCCACCAGGGGACACACACGGGGGGCAGGGTGCTCCCAGCATCAATCCTGCCTCAGACCTTGGCACACGTGTGCCCTTAGTGGGCAAAACATCAGTATGCTACTCTTACTGTAAATGCAACATGTCGGCCAATCAGAAAGTCAGAAAGTAAAGTAGGCGTGGACACAGGGTTTCAGACACAGGAGAAACGCTGATAACTGATAGCTGCCTAACTAAGGAGACAGATTAATCACTCACTGATACCGAAATGCTTCTTTTGTTACATTCTAAGGTCTTTCTACACTATCCTGTCAGGTTTAGACCTTCCTTGTTCTGACGGCTCCCACTGCTTCTTGCTAGGTTTCCTAGATTTATCAGTAATCTCAAATTTACTGGGGAGAGTGTCTCTGATATCAAGAACAAAGCTCATCAATGTTCTCAAATAAACATTAAGAGGACACACCTGGGAACAAAGATCTGAAGGTACAGTCAAGTCTGCATACTTTCCTCACAGGCTGGTAACATGCTGGACTGTCCCTCCCTTTCCCACCCATGCCAGGACATCGCTCAGGGACTGAAGTGTATCCTTCCAAAAGCTGTGCGGGAATCCTAATCCCTGTATCTGTTGCTGTGACCCATTTGAAGAGTGCTCCTTTATATGTTAACGAGGCCACATCAGTCGAAGGCAAGCCTGGCAAACCTTTGCTTACACACAGGTTATTCTTTAAGGAGGGACATCTTGCTTGGAAAGGCGGAGGGTGAGTGGAGAAGAGAAAGACCCCCACCCAGGTGGACGCACACAGTCCATATGGCGTTAGTGCAATGGGATCAAGCCTATCAAAGCCGATCAGGCTGGCACAGGATCAAACACGCCTCCCATTGGTTGCTCACAGTGAGTCACTCACCTTGACAGCACCGACAGTATCACAACCACCACCAGCACAGAAGTGAGTAAGCACAAAGGCAGAGGAAGACACACCGTGTGGAGTCAGCCACAGAGTCTACAGAAACTCAAAGACCACCTCCCAGAGAGGACAAAGAGTGGGCCTTTCCCCTTGAGCCAGAGCCTTGAATTCAGTGTCTACCCTCTGGAAAGCTGAGGAAAGAAAATTCTCTTCTTTATAAACAACCACTTGTGGTATTTCTGTTACATCAGGACAAGTAAAAGACAATAACTGGAAGAGGCAAGCCCAACAGAGCATGCTAACAAGTTTAAAATCTGAGTTTTCAAACTTTAAGGCAAAACATTTTTTAAAAAAATAATACACTAAAATTGCAATCAAAGTAAAGAGCAACCTATGAACTTAGTATCTTTAGGAAAAGCAAACCACCTTCACTAACTGGCTCAAATGAAGCAAACGGAAAGCATTTAAGTGAAGCAGGGAGACGTCCGTGCTAACTTTTTAGCATATAATCATTGTACACTAGAAAACTCCACTCACTGTTGTCAGGTCAGATGTCCCGTGAACTCTCACTGTTCTCTCTCATTGCACAGTATGAACCATAATCCATTTATTCACGTGAGGCCACTTAGTTGTTTTCAATGTTTTGCTATTGTGAATAATACTGCAGTGAGCGCAGGGTGTGCGTCTGTCTGTCATACTGTGCTAGGTTCTATGTCTAGAAACGAGACTGCTGGATTGTTCTTCGAGCTCTTTAGGAAAGTACCACACGGTTTTTCTTCGTAGTTATCATTTTACACCCTTACCAGTGTTTAAGAGTTCCAATCTCAAAACTGCCCCACCCTGTATTTGTAATTCTGTGTTGCCCTCCCACCCCCGTGTGAGAGGTTACCTCACTGATGCACTGATATGCATCTTTCCATTAGTTCACAACTGCAGCATCTTTTCATGTATGTGTTTGTCAGCTGTTGTTTGTTTGTAGAGTGTGTTCTTTGGTGAAATGAATTATTCGATAATGTACTGGAAGTCTTAGCTAGAGCAGTAAGGCAAGAAAAAAAACAAAGGGGTCCAAATGAGTACGAAAGAAGTAAAACTATCCCTATTTGCAGAAAACACGGTCCCATAGCTAGAAAATCCCAGCTATCCCATGAGAGACGTACTGGAACAAAAGGAAAACTGGCAGGAGACGTGATTGGCATTCAAAATATCAGTGAAGGCTTCCACACTAACAAAGAGAGTCCTGAAAAGGAAAATAGGAAGATAATACTATGTACACGGACCCTCAAAAGGATAAAATGCCCACGAATAAATCTAACTATGGATGTGAAATACTTAACATAAAGACAATGACAAAACACAACTATAAAAAAACCAAGAGGACCTACAGAAATGGAAAAGCATACCATGCTTGTGGATAGGGTGATTTAACACTGTGAAAATGCTAACCCCCTCCAAAGAAATCCATAGATGTTATACAATCCTGATCCAAATTACAAAAACATTCTTTAAAGAAGTGGTGGCCTAATGGCAAGAAGCTGCACGGCAATCCCTGAAGCACATGGTTCAAATCCACCAGATGCTCTGCTGGAGAAGGAGGGGTAATCTCCTGTACCAGCCAGATCTGATTTGATGGTACACACACACACACAGTCCAAAAAAAAAGTGGAAACACTAACCACCAAGTTTACATGGAAGAGAAGAGGTCGCAGACAGTGAGAGCATAATTAAAGAAGAACAACTTCAGGAGATTTCAGAACTGACAGCACAGTTCTTATACAAGCACCAATCAACAGAGCCTGGTATTGGCACAGTCACGGGCGCACAGACCAATGGAACATAACTGTGAGTCCACAGACAAATCTATGCAGCTAGACACAGCTGATTGTTGCAAAAGGGCTATAGTCCATTATATGGGGAAGATACAGTCTCTTCAGCAAATAGTGTTGGCAAAACTGGATATCCATTTATGGAAAAACGAGACGGGACCTATCCTTCACATCATACAGAAGAACTAATTAAAAATGGATCAAAGATCTAAATATAGAACTATAAAGTTCACGGGCGAAAAACTGGGACAAAGGTAGGGACCCTCAACTATAGCATTAATGGAATATAAACATAAAAAAAGCACAAATAATGGAAGATAAATGAGGCAACTGGTACCTCCTAAATAATCAGTATTTATCAGACTATTTCACTAAGAGGGTGAAAAGAACCTACAGACTGAGTACATTTTTTTGGCAATAACATATCTGACAAGAGTCCAATCTCCGAGACTTAGAGAAAATCTCAACAGAAAGATAAACAATCCAATTAAAAATGGGTAAAGGACATGAAGAGACACAAAGAAGACATTAAGGTGGTTAGGGTACTTTGTTAATACTTAAAATAACAGGCCTAAGACCTGAAGACTACATTATAGTTTTGGTGAACCGAAGCATTACTCCTGAATTTAACAATATGACATTGTGAATACTTACATTAAAAAGAATAAATTATGATGCAAACCAACCATACAATTTAAAAAATAAATAACCACAATATTTGCACAAAATTTTATTTGCCTTTCAATTACATAAATATTAAATTTTCCCGATTTAACAGAAGGAAAAGAAACTGAAGTGAAACTGTAGGAATTGCTGAACTTCAGATAAATGTTTCTTCAAAACAAGAGCTACTACTTCCTAAAACACTCCTCTGAAGTTAAAAAAAGATTAAGAGAAACATTAAGCCATTGGGTTATTACTGTTTTAAAAACTTACATGCTTCTTAATGAGCATATGTTTACACAGACAGACATTAAACTTAGTCTCCTGTCTCATAAAAACTCAGAGGACACCACTGATGTCTAAACTAAGCAAAACAAAGGAACTTTCATTTATGTGCTAAACACTTTACAACTGAAATCTACCTTAGCTTGACATTTCAAGGAAGGGCTAATCTGAAAGAAAAAGTTATACAAATTACTTTCAAGGACTGATATGCACCATGGTAGTGTGTTGATCCCTAATAACAGTAATTAAAACCCCAAAAGGTGACACATGAATTCAGAGCACCAGCCGGTCCTCGCCTCCCTCCTGGATTACCTGACCAATGGCAGCCTGGCTTTGCTGTTTCAGAAAGCACTGCTTCTTACATTCCATCAGTTGTTCCAAATCACGCCACATTTTTGCTTGTTTCATGTTTGGACCATGACTTTCTCGTACGCTTTTCTGTTTTTCCCGGAGTTTCTGTCATTTAGGAAAAAACCAAGCAAACAAGAATAATTCATTCTGAGAGGGCTCACTTCTGCTCATCCCAGCTATGGAAAAGGGAAGCAAATGTCAACAAAGAAAAGGAAAAAACCCAACAAACCAGAGCACTAAAACGAATCAAGAAAGTATCATTTACATTTCAATACAGCTGCCAATATTTGATAGTGTCCCTGGCGTCTATTTAAGTTTACGTTTATTACGAAGAAAATATGTTACAACAGACAATTTTATCATTATGCTGTAAAACAAGAGTATTTAGTGAGGTTATTAAGTCAGACCAAGAATTTCAGCAATTATGAGCATGAATCTAAGATTAAAGCACTCCTCAAACTCTGATTTTATAGCATTAGAATAATTCACTTGTCAAAAATGCTAACAGCCTCAAAAAACTATTTTAAGAACCAAAGATAGAATGAAGCATGATTTGTGTTGGAAATAGTAAAATTAATTTACTTCATAACAAAAAAGTCTTTAACTTTATGAATACAACTGAGTAGTCATAGAGTATAAATTTTAAATCTCACTGTCACTCATTAAAGATTTATTGTACTTGCAATGTAAAAGCCACAGTTATTCCGAAGCCACTGTTTCTTAAAGGAGCAGGTGAGGCTGTTGCTAGGAGCTGTCAAGTGTGATTTGGACTAACCTGTCCCACAGACCGTAACCTTGGCTGATCTGTGCCACAGTCATCATCGCTGCTCTCTGTCAACTCAGTGTTGCAGTCACTGTGCCACCCCTGAGGGCGGAAGGCTGCAGCCTTCAGCACAAGAGCCCACGACAGGCGCTAAAGCAAAGGTTCCGGTTCTGGTGAAGTCAGCTTGTGGAACTTAGGGATGGAGTCGGGCTGAGGAGAAGTGTGGGTGTCTGGACTATAGTAGCTAAGAGGTCTGGCCTCTCAGCTCTTTGAAAAGCAAGGGTGGTGCTGAGTTTACCTTCAAATCTGATTCCACAGTAGGAGCCGTTTTCAATATACAGAAAACGCGGAAGACAAAGCCTTTAACTCAAAGATCCTTCAACACGGATTATACCTCAACCTCAAGAAAACAAGGATCTTCAGAAGTGAATCCAAATGGAGGAAAGGTTGAAGTCATCAACGATTTCCTTTTCTTTGGAACTACAGTCAAACACCGTCGGTAGCAAAAGTCAAGCAATAAGAAGACGTGCTGCACCAGGCAAATCTGCTGTGGTCAGTTTAAAGCCTAAGGTGCACCTCACGCAAGCCCGGGTGTTCTCCACTGCTTCATACATGTGTAAAAGCTGGCACTGAATAAGGGAGACTGAAGAAACCTTTGAATGGTGGTGCTGGCCGAGTACTGGAGAGAACATGAACTGTCAAAAAAACCCAAGCAAATCTGTCTTGGAGTAAGTGTGATCAGGGCGCTGCCTGGAGGCGAGGCACGTGAGACTTCATCTCAGATACTTGGGCGAGCGGTCAGAAGGAAGGTGCTGTTGTTAGGTACCACCGAGTCAAGTAAGACTCACAGAGACTCAACGAAGAACCATTCAGAAACCTGCCCATGGAAAAGCATACGTGTGAGGGGGAAGAGAGCTTACGTGTATGCATTTCTAAAAATGACCTACCTTAGAAAACGTAAACAAAAAGGAACCATGTGTGCCCTCAGCAATTGACTGACTCTGACCAACAGCTAACATGTATAAATGCGTTAAGACGGAAACAAAACCTTACTCTCATTAAGAACCGACCAGCAGCTTTGAGAGCTACCAGATCATTTTCTGGTTGCAGACTCAAGAACACGTGCAGTGTGAAACGACACACCTCTCTCTGGTCGCACGTCGGGAGAAACTCTGCAGCTACGTCACCACCAAACAAACACCATTAAAGATTTCAAATAATAAAAAATTACCTGAGAATTTACTTATGTAATTTAATTTTTTTTTAAATTTTTTAATTTTTGTGTGCGTGTACCGTCAAATCAGATCTGACTGGTACAGGAGGAGATTGCCCCTCCTTCCCCAGCAGAGCATATCTGGTGGATTCGAACCGTGCACCTCTGGGACTGTAGTTGCAGCTTCTTGCCACTAGGCCACCTGAGCTCCCCTAGGTAATTTAATTTTAAAAATGAAAACCCACCTATGTCAGTGTAAGCATGAGGGTATTAGGAACTACAAAGCAGCTGTGAGTCTTGTCCAGCGTCGTGAGACCTGGGCGGAAGCCAGCTTTCCTGATGGCTGACCATTTCCTCTCTGCTTTAGTGAACACTTGTTTTGTCTGTTTTTAAGACGGACAGACCTGCTATCTTGAAGGTGATGTACTAAAGTCAGTCAGAAGAGTCAGTCTGTGAACTGGTCACGGCTGACCGGCTGCCTGAGCACGTCTTCTCCAGGCGTGGTCCAGCGGCCGGAGAGGACCGGGGCGGCTCACACTCCGTCCTCAGCAGCCCCAGGCAAGGTGGCAGGCAGGGTGCCCACGTCTCACGAGGGCTTCCAGTGAGGCGTCCTGTAGGAGTCAGGTGTGTAAGGAGCTGGGCTCAGCACCTTGCTTGTAGAATGTTAGAGCGTGGTGCTTATTAAAGAACTGAGGAAATTCACTGTCACCTGGTCAACAGGAATAATGGAACTAACTGGAAAAACTGCAGTGCACAATATGTGGCATTTCTGTTATTAACAACTTTGCCATACGCTCTGTGCTTTTTAAAGTTAGATTGCCCGTCACCCCCCAAGTAAATCTGTGCCAAACAGCAAAAGATTACAGAGACCTACTAAAATTAGAAGACTTCACCAAAAGACTTAAAACAGAACTTATTGACTGGGAACAATTTTGGCAACAACCCATGTTAACAGGGGCTACTCTCTACAACTTACAAGAAAACTTCAACACCTCAACAACAAAAAGCCAAACAACTGAAAAGTGGGCAAAAGGCTACGAACACTTGAGCAGCGACCACGACGCAGCGGCTCACACACACACAAGGACGCTCACTGCCACCGGCCCTGGGACCCGTGTCCACTCACGAGTAGCCCTGCAGCACAGGGCCAGGCTGCACAGCGGTGTCCCGACTCCACAGGCTTTCCAAGGTCGACGTCCTGACCCAAGCAGACTCCCACGTCTTTATCCTGAGCAGCTGTGGGCTCAACCCTCGAGTGCCACCAGGTTCTTCAGTGCGGTGACGTTCTTGTCACGAGCCACCCAGTCGGGTACGACCCACAGTGACCCTATGACCAACAGATGTGCCCACTGCTGCCATCACCAAGGCAGTCCACCTTCCTGAGGGTCTCCCGCTATTGCACTGACACCTCACTTTTCCAAACACAGTGTCCCTGTTCCAAGAAACAGCCTCTCCTCACAACACGCCCAGACAACATGAGGCCAGCTTCGCCATCCTGGGCTCCAAGGAGCACTCTGCTGTACTTTTCTCTAAGTGCTTTCTCATATGTGGGACATCCAGATACTCTCCACCACCACAACTCAAAGGCATCGATTCTTTTCCTGTCATCTTTTCTATCAATGGCCATTAGAGATGCAAATCAAAGTGGCAATGAGACATCATTTCACCTCAACAATAATGGCACTAAAAAAAAAATAATCAGAGAGTAACAAAAGCTACAGTGGTTGTGGGGAGACAGAAATTCTTACACATTGATGATGGGACTGTAAAAGGTTCCTACCGCTGTGGAAAATGGTATGCTGCTTCCTTAAAAAGCTTAAAAATACGAAAACCGTATTATCGCTATCTCACTCAGAGGTATACAAACCAGAGAAATGAGGATTAGAACACAGACAGACATACGCATCCATGTTCAATGCACCACTGTTCCCAAGAGCGAAAAGATGGCTACAACCTCCGTGTCCATCAGTGGATGATGGGATTAACCAACTGCGGTGTACACAGCCAATGGGGTACTACAGAAGGCCAAGAATAGTGATGGGTCTGCAGAACACCTCACACGAACACACGACGCCGGAGGCCACTGTGCCGACCACAGATGGGCTGCATGAGATTGCTACCGTAAGGAGCCAAGAAACTCAGAGCAGAGGCTCTGAGCAGAGGCAGACGTGTGTTGACTCTGGTGATGAGAAAGGTAACACAGTACGAGGGAACAGGGCACAATGTGACCAGAGGAAAGGAAGGCACGGAGAGGTCCATCAGGAGAGATGGAGGAGAGACTGGAGCTGCCCTCAAGTTCATCTTACTTGGCGCTCCACAATTCACATCCCTGGGAGCTGCCGCCAAGAAATCAGAAGATGTGCTGCTTTGGGAAAATCTGCTCTCAAGGATTTCTGCAAAGTTCTAAAGAGCAAGGATGTCAGTTTACAGGCTAAGGTACACCTGACTCAAGCCATGGTATTTTTAACTGCTTCCTATGCAGCTGAAAGTTGAAGCATGAATGAGGAAGACCTAAGAAGCTGGCAAGGAGTACTGATTAGGTCGTGGACACACAGAAACCAAACAAATCTGTCCTGGACGAAAAGCAACCAGAGTGCTTATGGGAGGCAAGGTTGGTGAAACTTCGCAGGCTGTCAGGAGGCACCAGTCCCTGCAGAGAACGGAAGAGGGTCAGCGAGGACCCTTAGCAAGATGGAGCTGACACAGTGACCACCACAATGGGTTTGGGTACGACAGATTGAGAGGGTGGTGCAGGACAGGTGCGGCCCAACGCTGTTGTTCATGGGTCACTAGGAGTCGTCATTGTTTTGATGGTAAACAACAACAACAACAAGTACAACAACATGATACATACAACCCAGAAACAACAAGCAAACAAACCATAATTTGTGAGTAAATCCACAAGTAGCGACGCATGCTGTATAGGTGTGGACAGCACTTGTACAGTATAGCACGTATATAGGATAACTATGGATTTGTTAACACACATATATAATAAGCTCTGATGTTGCTGATGATTGCCTTCAAGTCAAGCACGACTCACAGTGACCCTATGAACAAAAGGCCTGAAGGCCCTCTACAACTGTCGACATTTATCAAAGTTCACAGAGTTTGCACAGGCATGCTATTTAAGAAATGGATGCCACTCCTGCTACCAACCTAAAGGTATGTGCTTCGAATCCACCAGGTGCTCCATGGGAGAAGAACGGGCAATCTCCTCTCATGCAACTTCCTGCCACTGAGGACCCACTAGAAGGTCAGGTCTGGATCAGTTTTGACTTGATGGTACAACAACAACAACAACAATGTATGTTTGTGTATGTTGCATGTACGATTTTATACATACCAGAGCACAGAAAGCACCGCTATGGACATGCCTTAGACATAACCAAAAAACTCACAGGACTGAATTTCTGGACTCCCAGGGTGAGTAACACAGTGTTGGGGGACAGCCAGACCAACAAGCATAACAAAAGCTACAAAGCTAGAAAGATTAGCTTGGTGAGTGGTCCTGGTTATCGTAAAAGCTGGCAAGTGTTCATCTAAGATGCAACTATTGGTCTCTTCCCTCTTGGAGCAAAGGAGCACGGAGAAAACCTAAGACTCAAGGAGGCCATTTGTCCAGAGACCTCATGGCCCACCTAAACCGCAGCCGGCTCCAGTCGCAGGACACAACTAGACGGTGACCACCTTCCACGACCAGCGTTCTGACTAAGGACACACAGAAGGTTCTCGTTAGAATGAGAGAAAAATACAGGACAAAACTCAAATCTGTGGAAAAGTGCAGACTTCCTGATCTGCTATAGTCTAGGGGAATCCCTGACCCCGACTCCTTAAGTCACTCTTCTGGGAAGGAACTCAAGCCATTCCCAGAGGCCACCTCTCAACCAAACCATAGGCTGACCTATCAAGTGAACCAGCATTCATGAAGAATGTGCACTTGAGGACACCTAAAAGGCAGTATTTGCCAATAACCAAGAAAGCAAGCCAGGAACGGGCAGGGAAAGGCGTGAACGGAAATGCGGAAGCACGGCGGAAATCGGGAGGGCACTGACGCATGGTGTTGGCTGCAAACCATCGTCCAGGGGACAATCCGCGTGTGATTATCAAGTTCTCGTTGTTATGTGCTGTCAAGTTGCCTGCGACTCATAGTGACCCCGTATACAGCAGCTCTGACCCCTGCCCTGTGCTGAGCCAGGCTCACTGACTCCGACACACCTACTCCCAATGCTCCAGTTACTCAATCCATCTCATCCAGGGTCTTGCTCTCCAATGCTCTCCCTCCACCCTTCTGAGCATGATGTCAGTCCCTCCTGGCCACATTCCCAAAGTACGTGAGACGGAGCTTCAAAATGCTAGTCTCAAAGGAGAAACTTGGTTTCACCCTCTCCAAGACAGACCTGTTTGTTCTCTTGAGGATTAGTGGTATGTTTATGTTCAAGATTACAGCACCGCAACTCAAAGGAATCAACTCTTCGGTCATCTTTAGTCATTATCTAGCTCCCTGATGCATAGCAAGTAATTGTGACGACCATGGACTGGATCAGATGCACCTTAGTCTCTAGACTGACATTGTCAGTACTCTGCAAAGGTCCCCGACAGCAGATTTACCTAATGCAATTAGTCTTTTGATTTCCTGACTTCTGGTGCCAACAGTGTTGACTGTGGAGCCCAGCAAGCTGTTACCTGTTAACAACCTCAATCTCTTCTCCATCATGGTGCTGCCAATTGGCCCAGTGATTAGAATCTTTGTCTTCTTGATGCTGAGTTTCAATCCATATTGAAGACTACAGTCCTTGACCTTCGGCAGCAAGCGCTTCAGGTCTTTCTCAGTCTCAGCAAGCAGGGTTGTATCATCTGCATAATGTAGGCTGTTGATGAGCCTTCCTCCAATTCTGATGCCACATTCCTCCTCATAAAGCCCAGTCTCCCAAATGATCTGTTCTGCATATAAATTGAAAAGGTACAGAGATAGGATGCATCCCTGGGGCACTCCCTTCCTGGTTTTGAACAATGCAGTATTTCCCTGCTCTGTTCTGACGACTGCTTCCTGGTCCACGTATAGGTTTTTCATGAGCACAATCAAGTGTTCTGGGATTCCAATTCTCCTCAAGGTTAGCCACAGTTTGCTGTGATCCACACAGAGTGGAAAACAAATGTTCTGTGTGAACTTCCTAAAACACAAGAAAGTGTTCAAAAAACTCCATTTGTGCCTTTAATCTCCAACAACTAAATTCCTAAGTAAAGGTCTTCATCTTTGAGAGGTAACAAGCATCCAATTTCCCCAGAAGAAGATACCACAAAGAATGACCATGTCACAACCTTGTATTGAAAACCTGAATCAGAAAATACCCCTGTTATAGGAAAAACAAAATAATAACACATTCTTACCTTCCCAAGGTTCTCCTGTTCAGCGATCTGTTTGGTATACTGTTCCCTAGGGAGATAAGATAATGGGAGAGTTTCACTACTTTTACTGATGGGGTCACGTACCTAAGTTATCAATGAACATATGTATTTAAATATATAAGTAGCCCTGGTGGCATAATGTATTTTTCATTTGGCTGCTAATAGAAAAGTCGTGTGTTCAAATGCACTGGCCTGTGGAAGCAGCACGGCGAGGTGCCTTCTCCTGTGAAGAGGTGCGTCCTCAGAAACCACGGCCAGGCCACCAGGAGGTGGGCTCACCCGCAGGCCGTGCGTGGCAGAGCGGGGTGTGCAAGACATCAGACAGTGCGATGTAGAGTGCAACTATCACCAAGTATTCTCACTACCTATCATTAGTCAGTGCTTTTAGTAAATAGTAATTTAAGGGGGGGAAACCCCCAAAACATCACATATGAAATTAACTGCAGATAATTAGCATGTTAAGTACTATTTCTGGTAAATTAAACCCTTAAAGCAACCCGAACCAATTGGCTTAAATTATGCTTTGTTTTTGAAGAGATCTGCAGTAAGGAAAAAGTATACACATTTCAAATAGATATTAGAAAGTATCTATCCCTGCAATTTCCCTTCTGGAAGTTACAGAAACTGCTCTGTAACACCATAAAAGTGAAAGCGGAGATTACGTCAATGTTGATACTTCAACATTTTTTGTAACAGCAAAAATCTGTAAATGACCTACATGCTGACAGACGGAAAAGAGTTAAATAAAATATGGGCATCCTTTCAGAGGACTACTATGAGGTGGTATAAAAAAACGAGGAAGATCAATCAATAGTGAAGCTGAAAAGTTCTGAATAAATTAAGAAAAAGCCGAAGTTGTGTCTTATTCTCAATTTTGTGCGCACAGGGTAAACTTGTAAGGGCCCCCGGCACGCAATGATAACGGTCTTAGCTGCTCATCAAAACTCTGGAGGTTTGAACGCACACAGCAACCCCGCGGTCTGCTCGTGAAGATCCTAACCAGGGACCCCACAGGGCAGTTCTGTCTCAAGAGGTTGCTTTGTGTTGGAACCGACCAACGTGACCACTGTAAGGCATCTGAGTTCCGCCCCGCATCTCCACTCACTCCTAACTGGGCCTTCCAGTGTGCGCTCCCGGGCACAGCAGGCTGCACTGGTAGCTGGGCACTCTCTGGTTTTTCTACTCTCAAGCTAGACGAGGTTGTACTGTATGTGGGCTAGCCAACAATTAACTGTGTAAGGTAAAAAGATCCACAATAAATCATACAAATAACACCACACTGTATGCTTTTTAAAACTATCATTATGTTTTAATAGTGTACAAAGGAAGGAGAAAGCCTTCACGTGGGGACAAAGAGCAACCAACATTAAAAGATGACAAGGACCTCTACAGCCAAGAGGGGAAGAGACTCTGGATCTCAAGTCTGGATGGAGAGAAAATGTGCTGGGGTCTTTGGACAAAGCTCCACTGCACTATATACTAGGAAATCAAGAGACGAATTGCACTGGGAAAGTCAGCTGTCAGGGACCTCTCCAGAGGACTGACAGCAACAACATCAGGCTTCAGACTAAGGTGCACCTGATCCAGGCGATAGTCTTCAAAACTATGTGCTATGTGTCAAAGAACTGGACAGTGACTAGGGAAGATAGAAAGACAATTGATGCCTTTGAGCTGTGGTGCTGGAGAAGAGTGTTGGATATACCATGGACCACCAGGAGAACGAACAGGTTCGTCCTGGAGAGGGTGAAACCAGGCTGCTCCTTGGAGGCAAGGATTCTGAAGCTTTGTCTGACATACCTTGGACAAGGTGCAAGGAGGGACCAGTCCTTGGAAAGGGACATCATGCTTGGGAGGGTAGAGGGACAGCACGGAGAGGAAGATACTCGATGAGACGGATCGATTCAGTGACTGGGGTAATGGAGTAGGTGTGTCAGAGACGGTGAGGGAACTACAGGGTAGGGCAGGGTTTAGGGCTCTTGTACATGGGGTCACTATCAGTCGTAAGTGACTCGATGGCAAATAACAACAACAAGAAGAGTGTAAAACTTGGACGCTAAGCCATAAAAAGTCCAAGTACCGTAGCGAAGAGAAGGCATGGCCCCTGGTGGTGCAGTGGGGAAACACTAGGCTGTCTACTGAGAGGCCGGTCACTTGATCCCGGACATTCCCGGAGGAGAGACCGCCTCTATAGTGAGCCTCTTGCCCTCACTGCCACGAGGCTGGAAGCGACCTCCGGCTGAGGGTCCAGCGGGTTTCCAGCAGCTGTGAGCGGCACAGGAGAAGGCTGTCCATTTTTGGGTTAGCAACACACTCCTCCCGTTAGGTCGCCAGAACTGCAGCCCTGGACACTCTGGGCAGCTCTACTCTGACCGCGGGGTCACTATGAAGTGGAGTTGACTCAATGGAAAGGTGTTGGTTTTTGTTAATAAATGTAGGAAGATTGGCCTTTAGACGAGGGAGGGGGGAGTGATTACCCGCATGGAGACAGTGACCGTCAAGGGTACAAAGTCCTTGCTAAGCCGAAGTGAAGTGAGAAGCTGTATAGCATGAGGAAGGAATAAACAAAGTCCTGATGAACCTTCTTTCCCCCTTAAAATGTATGGGACACTAAGCCAGACCGTTTGCTTCTCCAACCTTCTGACAAAAAGCCAGCTCAGAGGACACAGATGGTACACTGGTTCAAGCTAATACCAAGCTACAGCTCAGGGAACTTGAAACAAGATTTATTTGCGACCCTAAATTTGAAACATGTCCAAGTTATTTTAGAGAAGTTTCTCAAGTAACCAACATGCTCATGTTACTTCCCCGGATGACATTAATATCTAAATTTTATTTACTCAACAAATAATTACAGAGCATCTATTATGTGCCAAGTATGGCCTAGGGCTTAAAGTTGGAAAACAGGACAGTGGGGGTTGCTACTGTCAAAAAATCTGACTAAAAGTTCCAAAGCACTTTTGTGCCGCTTAGCTCTGATTCAATCCTCAATGATAACGTATACTGGTCTCCGGGAGGAAGGGACTTGCCTCTTGCCCAAGCACGGCTAGCAACTGGAAAAACTAGGATTAGGAGTAAAGTAATCCGAGCTCCGTTTGAAGCTTTGCACTAAAACACACTGCCTCTTTAAGTAAACATTTGCAGACAGTTTTCCAGGCCGAGTTAATGTCTTATATCTGGAAATGCTGACAGTAATTGCAAGTGCTGAAAATGGAATAACCAAAAGAAATACTATTCTATAATAATATTTTACAAAAGTGTTAGTGATTTGGGGATTAGTAATGATAATTTGTTGCTAATTCTTGTACCAGGGCTCAGCTCAGTATTTTTCTGGGGAAAAATGAAGGGATGGTAGCAGTCTACAATGATTTTTTAAATGAGGAAAAATAACACCTGTCTAGAAAACTGGGGAGAAATCAATACTTAATTTGGAAGTATCTCAACTATTTATATTGTAACTTTGGAAAAGTTGAAATGTGTTTCTAAAACTTTTTCTTTTTAAAGAACAAAATTACCTTTGAAATTCTTTGCAGTGACCATACAAATATGTTTGAGAAAAATGTACATTCAGTGAAAGGATCTGAGCAAATACAATTTTAGTCTAAGATGTACACTATTAGAAAAAAACACTATTGTACGTATTTCAGCTTAGCTTACATTTCAGGGAGCCATATATTAGGAAAATTTAGATTGCAATGATATTCAATTTTAGTAATATTAATGGTTATGCCACTCAAAAGTCTCAACTACAATCCAGTAAAAAGTGAATCCTATGTTTTATTTAAAATCTCAATGTCCTGGCAAGCTGTGGTGGCCTAGTCGTAAGAAGCTGCACTGCAATCGCAGAGGTGAGCTGTTCGAATCCACCAGATGCTCTGCTGGAGAAGGAAGGATAATCTCCTGTACTAGTCAGATCTGATTTGATGGTACACACACAAAAAATTTAAATAAATAAATACTCAATGTCCTTGAGTTGGAACTTAAAAACTGAGCTCCAGAGGGCTTGGAGATGCTGTAAATTGCACAGAAGGAAAATGCCCATCTGTCTCCCACAAGAAGCTGGTGGATTTAAATCACTAATGCTTGGCTTACTGGCACAATTCTCTACTCACTAGGCCCCCAGAGCTCTTAATATGCAAGTTTAAACTGAAGGTGAAGACAAAATAAGTCCAGAAGAACCAAAATATAAGCTTGTCTGTGTCCCAAGAGAATTTAAAAACCACCATCAGAGTAGATTTGATGCACTGAACACTAAGGACCAGATGAGTCATGGAGCAACAAGGAAAGCCAAAGGTCATTACAAAGACAGAGGGAAAAGAAACGATCAAAATGGATGACAGAAGAAACTCTGAAATTTGCATTGAATGAAAAGAAGTCAAAACAAGGGGAAGGGATGCTGAGGTGAGAGAGCTAATCAGAGGATTTTGAAGGGCAGCTTAGGAAGACAAAGCAAAGTGTTCTGATGACAGGTGCAAGGAGCTGGACTTAGGAAGCCAAGAGAGAAGAAAAAGCTCAAGATGTAAGAACTGAAGAGCAAATTCAAGCCTCAAGTTGCAACATGAAAGAATTTTATGGGCAAAATCTTGAAAAATGCAGGAAACATCAAAAGAAGATGGAAGAAATAAGAGTCACCATACGAAAAAGAAAACTGTCCACACTGAACCATTTCAGGCAGTAACACATGATCAAAAACCAGAAGTAATGAAGAAAGAAGTCTAAGTTGCACTGAGGGCCTTGGCAGAAAACAAGGCCCTAGGACCTGATGGACTGCTAGAGGAACTGAGGGATTAGTAGAGGACCTGATGGACTGCTAGAGGAAGGAACTGATGGATTAGCAGAGGAACTGATAGGATAATAGAGGAACTCATGGACTAGCAGAGGACTGAGGAGCCAGTAGAGGACCTAATGGAATACTAAGTAAGTGTTTTAGGCAATAGATGCTGCCCTGGTCAACTCACTGGAATAGCTCTGTGTTTGTTCTCATTTCCAAAAAAGGTGATATATTAGAATGTGAAGATTATCAAACAATAT